TATATCCAAGAAAATAAAATCAGGTATATTGCTCTATGTATTTTAGCCAGAGCAAGAATATAATATAAAAACTCCAAAAACCCTATATTTTACGGTTTATAAGTGATTAAATCGGAATCATTTATCACGCTCCAATTCATCAGAACTACGTTGAATTTTTATTTTGATGAAGCATGGGCTACCACGATTTCCTTCATTGAATAAATTATAATCATGAAAAAGTCCATCTTTGAGCCTTTTAATATAAGTATAATATATGTTATATATATATATATATATTTATATTTCCATTTATATATATATATATATATTCTATATATATATATTACATATATCTGCATATCATATCACCTTTCAAGACCTAATTTTGGATGTTAATTTGACTGGATGTCTGGGCCATAATTTTTGTTCAACTGCGTTCAAAATTCAACAAACATACGCCATTTTTATATCTCAAGTAGGATGCGACCCCATTAAAATTAGCTGAAAAATTACGTTTTCAAAAGTCACGTGTTATACGAGTATATATATATATATATAAAGGATAAAAAGGAAAAAGTTTTGTTATATTATAGGACTTCATCGAACTAAAACACATGGTAAAAGATGGTTTTTAATTTTTGGACATTTTTTAAAATTTTGCATTTGTTTAAATAATATCTTTGCGGTTATGTATTTTTTTTATTTATTTTAATAATGTGTGATATTCAGTAAAAAAAACCGTACAAAGAATTAAAAAAAAATCAGAATCTAAATGAAATTGAGTAGAATATATAGGATGTCCTCATTATTAAAAAAGAAATTAAATATTTAAAAAAAATTTAAATTCTCGGCTTCTCTCGCTCCTGCGCAATGTGTTGTCGCATAAACGTAAATAAACCTACACCGTTTACGTCCTAATTAAATCCGGAACAAACTACTAATAAGAAAAGACTAAAAGACACATACTTACCTAAGCAGTAATTTACCAGTGCCCAACGTCCATTCTATCCTGGCAGAGTACAAACAAAATAATTTAACTGTAAGATGGCGAGACTTTGCACGCTATCTAGTAATGCGCTTAAATTCATAAAGTCTAGGTACCAAAAAGGGAAGCCCATATTGTTTATTAGACAATATTTCTCTCGACATCAGACCTGTCGTTTCTCTGAGGAAAGTGATATTTTTAACGTATTTTGATATATTTTTTGGGTAAAACCGTAGAGCATTTTTCCACTGAAAACGTAAAAAAGAAAAACGATTAAAATTTTGTAGCCACTATAAATAGAAAAAAAAAGGCAAAACACTACCGATAAAACTTATTATAATATTGGTGTAGACGTGTCAAATGCCACTTGACGCTAAAACAGCCCTCGAATGGAAACCTATTTTCATTTCAAGCAGTAGGCCGTTTACAACCTAAACGTTACACTGGCTATTTCTGGACTTTCTAACTTCTTTTCTTGAAAACGAGTAATCACGGCTTGAAAGTACAGACAGACCTCTCATCGACGGACCCATCCTCAACGGACTTTGAAAGCAACGGACAAAATCACTTTCAATCCAAAAATACCTCCCCACCCTGTAAAAAAAACAAAACTTACAAACAAGTTCTGTATTTCAAAATTTGAGGCTTATAGTTACCCGAGTAGTTCATGTTCTCATTTCACCGCTTGGCGGCGGTGGCGGGCCTTTCAGGTGTAAACAAAAACGGAAAGTATGATACATTAGCACGTGCCTGAGAAAGTAGCGGTGAGAAAACTGTTATTTTTCTTATTTTGATTAATATACTAATTGTTCTGCCCTCGTTATGACATCGGAGCAGAAGGAACATGTGTAAAGGAAGCATACAAACCTAAGTATCACTGAAAAATTAGAGCTCTTCCATCTACGGACAATCGACTTTAACTGACCGTTCTTAGTCCGTTGACGAGAAACAACAAAAAAAGAACACACTTTCGGCAAGTTCCACCACTCATGATATGTTTTAATGATAACCAGAAAAAACTCCACAAAAGTCTTCACAGAAATTTCCTATCCGTTTTCTTTTATAGAACAGGTTTCAACATCCTCTATATAAAAAAAAACAAACTTCCAAAGCAGAAACAATAATCTGATATTGGAATGAAAGCAGTGATGAAAAGTACGCTGAATGTATAATAAAAAATACAGAATGTGGAATGAGTAAATTAAAAACATTAAAAATAGTTCGGTATATGGATCAGTAATAACAAATTAGTATAGGAAATAAGTAAATTGATCAAAGAACAGTCCGCGCTTGGAAGTAGTTTCGTCCAACATCACAAATTACTGCAAATTAAAAGCATCAACGTAAAAAAAATCGAGTCTTGTTCTTAAATAACATCATCGCGTCAAGACTTTCATATGGATAACATGCATGTGGGTCAAATCCGTTCAGAAATATGTAAACTACTAGGTGTACATAAAACTTTCTCTGATTAATGGCTTCGAGCAAATGAATCTAGGAGGTCTTATCAAGGACCATACTTGTTCTAAACGCGTTACTTGGCCTTACAGAAACACAAAATAAAACTGTACCAAAAAGCAAAAAATAAAGTAGAAAGCACTTCACTTTGGGATTTAAACAGAATCAAAAACTAAAATGGATAACATATTTAACTCGAAGAAAAAATAAGGACATAATCAAAATGTTGATATTCCACACAACTTCATACAAAAGGTTAGGAAGGAAACCTCCATCAATAGTGGAAAGAGCTATAATAGTTGGTTAATTTAGAAAAGTGTTTCTCATAAAATTCATGTTTTAATAAAAAAAAAAAAAAAAACATTTTCGAAATTTCAAACGATAGAAGCTGTGGCTACTCTGTCAATAAACATCGGAAGTTTTTTTAAAACGAAAACAGATACTATTACCATTATCATTACAAGAAGAAGTTTCTTGTCAGTAACAACAAATGGCATTCAGAACCCCTCGCTAAAAAAAACAGATTTTTGCACTTAAGAAAACGTGCCTCTGTAAATGTTGAAGAGTTAGGAATTTATCCTTTCAAGTTGGATACACCCTTGCCTTGTTCGTGCAAGGAATTCACATTGACATATAAAATCCGTTCCCGCAGATTTCGAATAGTGCTTCTGCTTAAGAATAGCTGGAACTTCATCATGATGTGCCTTCACCAACCAATGTTTTCTGCTCAAAAGACTTTAAGTTGAGGCCACAAATTGTTCTCCTCACTCTTAATCAGTTCCCGCTACATCTTTCCATGTTTTAAGATCGATGTTACAGGGTTTGATGAAATAATTGTTGCGTAAAATCAGAAGAAGTTCGCCATAGAATTGCTGTTTTGGAAACCAGGTCTGTTAGGTACTAGAATTTGCCCAATACAACAGCCAATGAAGATAAAGAGTTCTACATATAGAAATAGGAATGCTGGATAATGTGGGTGACACGAATGAAAAAGGATGATGTTTGAAGCGAAGATAACACTGTGGATAAATAACGATTGACCCTTGACTAAAATTTTACTGTTCACGGGAATCGGTCCCCACAAAAGAGCAGTTATGCGAGGAAAATAGCATGGCGTATCTCAGCTGTAAAGCTGTAAAGGAGAGTGACACATTGCGATTCTCGGACTAAAGTTTTCCGCTGATATCATGTGGAAAGAGTATATTGAATCAATTGCAAGGTGTATATCTAAGGTGGTTGGTTCACTGTGTCGTGCGAGACAATATATCTCCGCTGAATCTATCT